TCCTTACCTGACTCCCCTGGCATTTTGTCATATTACTTAGCTCACCACGTGTACCACTTTTATGAGTCTTTTTCTCCCCTCAAAGACTGTGATTTTTTAATTTACTTGTATCTTCCGTTTCTAATGTAGTGATTCAGTAAATGATAAATGCACGAATCTGTTGCCTCTCTTTGATTCTGTTTCCTTTGTCTTACATTATCTACTAACTGGCTGATGGACTGGACAGTTGACTTTGATCTTCTATTAATTTGCCAAAAGCTTTTGAGGATTTGAAGTTCCAAAGGAGCACTGGCGTAAAGAAGACATGTACAATTAATAATTGTATGTGGTACTTTCTGCTGGCTTGTTTACTTTTTCTCTTGAGGGAGAAAATAAAGCTCTCAAGTCCTATAGCTATTGAAACAGTGAGAAATGCTTTCTAAAATTTGAACTTAGTGATTAAGCTTAAAAGACACTTCCCACCTCCCCCAATACTCCCCCCAACACATCGTTACCTTGAACATTGAGGACACTTGCCTTGGACAGGGCCAGCTGAGGAGCCATCACCTACTTAACATGCACTAGTCAGCCTGTGTGAAATATCACCCCCTGAGGCTGGGTGCTTATCTTTTATGGAACAGCTTGCAAATCCTAATTGTTTTAAACTGGCTCTGAGGAAAAGAGACTTGAGGACCAATAAATTATAACTCTCCTACATACAAATGTGCATCATTATAATGAAGACAGTCTGATGGCTCTTTAGGTCGAATAACAAAAGAGGTGGACGTGAGCTTGTAAAGATTCACCAGAAGTCCTCTTATAGGGTTGAATGTAGTTTTACTCTCTCTGGTTGGTGTTCAGGTCTGTATATGGACATTTGTTTTTGATAGATCCTTAGTGGGAGTGAATTGATGAGAGTTCATTACTTGCTCTGGTGGCTGTATGTCTTCTTTATAAGGTTCATTAAGACAGAAGCAACAATATTTATGCCTTTAAATACTGATGTGTTGGGAACAGCTAAATAAACTATTCTAAGAATTGTACCATCTGGTTTCAGACTGAGAGTGCTCTCTAAGACTCTGCAGACTTTCACCCAAGGTCACCCCTCTTAGTCCTTTCTAGAGTCTTGGAAAAAGCTCACCATCTAAAAAGCAGACAGTGTGCATATTATCACTTTCTCATCAATGAGAAATTTTGTTGTACCAGTAGGTGGTAGTAAGCTGCAGAGAACATTTACTGCTTTTTCTTCAGTTGAAAGAAATGCCTTTCTCACCTTTAACCGGGATTTAGGTGATTCAGCTTCTTTAAATTGTTCTTTAAAAATAATTAAGTAAATAAATAACTGGTTCTTGAAAGAGCTCTTCAGTCATTCTTCAACTTTAGCCACTCTTTTTTTTGTCAACAGATGTTATGCTCAAATTTCTTATGATGATGGGAATGGAGTTCTAACCCAATTGAATTTTCTTCTTTTAAATCATTAACCATAATGATAAAGATTTTTCTTGAGCATACATTTATGTTTTTCTACTAGTCTTAATAATTTTTCTTTGGGCTACAAATTGTAACTGCGATGAAAAAAATCATTCATGAACCAGTTTTAATTTGTTCCCAAAGCAAAATTTGATTGCATAAGCTATCAGTGCATATTAGTATGCCTTCATGTAGTCCTTCAACTTTCAAGTTTATTCTAGTATTTAGTATGTTTCTTTATGAGAGTCCGTTTTTGAGTCTAATGACTCAGCAAAATTGCAAAGGTGGAATCATAGAATTGAAAAAAAAATATTCTTTTAGCTCCTAAACTCATGATAAATGGTTTCTTTGGTCAGCCAGTATTGTACAGTGTGAAACAGTAGAGACTGGCATTGTGATCCCATCTCTTGAACTCCTTCATTGGTGAAGACTAGTGACATGACCCTCCGTAGGCAGATGGTCAAGTAAGTTGCCTGGGAGAAGGAAACAACTACCAAGAACAAGGGAGTTCTGAATACAGCTTTTATTTAAACACCTTTTCCAGGTTGTCCACTTGTTACTAATCTGTTGTATTTATCTTTCTTTTAAGTATACATTATATTTTTCTTTCCACAGTTATTGTGGAAAATTCAGGGAAGATAGGAATGTTTAAAAAAAATAGAAAATGACTGTAACTGCTGGATAGTAAATATACTTTTGGTATATTTTCTTCCCCTTTTAAAGTTGTCTTTTCCCGCTCCTTTAAATTTGTTTACTCACAGTTTATATTCACACACAGACAACATATAATGTATATTACAAAATGGGGACTCATGCTTTTATCCTTGCATTGCTATTAAATGTCTCCAGAAACAGACTTTTTAGAATCTGTATGCTGTTTCATTGCATGAAAGGTACTGTGTTTTAATCATTGTTTTATAGTTTGAAATTTAAGTTTTTATTTTCCCTCTATTATAACTTCCCAGTAAATATCCACATATATAAATTCTGTACGTATTCCAGATGATTTTGTTAAGGGAAATTTTTGGAAATGTAGTTAGTGGGTTATAGGTACAAACTGCTCTTGATACATACTGCTTGGTTATTTTCAGACCAGTTATGTCGATTTACACATCCCCCTTAGGACAGTACAGGACTGCTCTTTTCCCTACCAACCTGGCTAACCATAGATATTATTATTTAACAGAAAAAATTTTAATGGGCTAGCAAATCATCTCATTGTTTAATTTACATTTTAGATTAGGTAGAACAGTTTGTGTGTGTGTGTGTGTGTGTGTGTGTGTGTGTGTGTGTGTGTGTTTAAATTAATGGCCATGCATACACTTTAGTTATGTGACCATTCTCAATATGCTTTTATCAGTGTGGAATAAATCTAATGCTCTGGGTACAGTTTGGGGGGAAGATTTTCAGAGGCCTGGTCAATTTTCATTAACACCAGTGATAATAGGATATACAATATTTTTTTAAAAATTAAGTTTTTAATTATAAAATAATACAGTCTCAATGGTGAATAAAGTGTGTAATTGACACTGTTTTGTGGTTTTCTTCTTTAGTCAGCTATATTAAGGGATCTTGGGAATTATTTTAATGGCTCTCCATATATTCCCTGTAGGTTCTGATTATGTGGCTGGCATGACCCTCTTGCCAATACTAGTGGCCACTCCTTTCTCTTTTGTTTCTCCCTCCCTCCGTCAACTCTGTGTCTGGGGAGTCATGGTGTTGGCTGATGAGACATGGGCATCTTTTGATAAGGTTGAATCTCTGCCACCACGGCTGCCTTTTGTGTTGTGAGACTTAGGGTAGGGGCTCACTCAGTTACTTTTGAGGGTCATGTTTGACCTTGTGAGTTGTCAGTAGTTAAAGAGAGTGCTCAGTTTTTATCAACAATGAAAGTAATCTGATTTCTGTTTTTATTACGGATTTTTTAATGCTTCTTCGTTCAGCATTTATGACACTTATGTATAATTAACGTGCTTAGTTGCTGAATGTTTCATATTTTATATAAACAAAAGTCCCGCGGAATTCTCAGATCAATCTCATCTTACATCTTGATGTCTCTACAGGAGTTCCATCAGATGCAGGAGTTTGAACATCTTTTATTGCTCAAAGTAATTGAAATTAATAGCTGAAGACTGTGTGTGTGTGTGTTTACCAGTGAAATTCATGCTGGAAAGTGTGATTTTCTCTTATTAAAAAATATGTAATCCCTAGTAGGGGTAAGTGAGAGGTCTTTCTTTTTCTTTTGTATTAAGTGACAGCTACACTTAATTTAGTTCATGTTTTATTTTAAATTCGGATACCTCAGTGTTTTCACTTGTTATACACATACTTTCCAGGTGCATTCAGAATAAAGATCCAGAAAGTCTAGAATATTGTAGATCATTAACAAAAGGTTTCATTACACTGCAATTAATAAACCATAAAAAATGACCATATAGATTTTAGGAAGATTATAACAATGTTGAAGATTGTTAACCCTCCATTAAGCAAAAAATGAAATTATTGGGATATTCAACAAACTTCCACTTTTGATCAGTGAGTTTTCTCTCATTCTTCTCTATCCCAATATTTTTTTTCTTTAAATTCCATAAAAGATTTTCTGAAACTTTTGAGATTGTCATGCATGAAATGATTTTCTTTTGCATTAAATCAAAAATTGGGGTAAGGATGGGAAGAAAGCATATTTAGGGAATTTTCTGCTGATGAAACTATACTCAGGATGTTTGGCTTTCTCTTTTGGTGGAGATGTTGAGGTTGCCTTCTTCTCACATACTTGTTATTATGGAATTTTTACCTCTGTTAATAGCATTTAATTCTGTATTTTAAATTAAGGTTCATGAGGGGTGCCAGGCTGGCTCAGTCAGTAGAGCATGCGACTCCTGATTTCACACTTGTGAGTGTGAGCCCAACACTGGGTGTAGAGATGATAAAATCTCTTAAATCTCTAAAATCTCTCAGAGATAATAAAATCTCTTAAAAATAAAATTGTAACAAAAGAAGGTGCATGAGAGTGTTCACTGTACACTGAATGGGGTTTCCTTATTTTAGGTCATTTTGTGACTGTTGTATTTTTGTTTAAAGATAACACATGTTGTTACAACTTTGTAGAACGGACTTCAGACTAATATTGAGACCTATTAAGACCTACTAAGTCTTAGCTTAGAGAATAACTTTTTGGTTTTTCAGTTGTAGAGATGCCAATCTACGAGCACCTTCTACCTTGCAATGTTGTAAGATTACGTGAGATACTGTATGTGAGAGTGCTTTTAAAATTTAGAAACATTGCACAAAACTAAAAGAATATTATTATTTGCAGTTGTAAACATGACTAAAATCGTATCTGAGGAATTGTTCACGTGAAGTGGAAAAAATGAAGGAGAGAGAATTGCGTGGGGAAGTGACCTGTATTTTCAGGCTACGTGTTTAGAAATTGTGATATGCCAAAGGACTAATGTAATAAATACTTAAGATCACGATGCAGGTAGTTAATTTAATCTCATATGTCCATGCTCTTTACTATTTGATTGACCTTGACCTGGGTTTGTTTTCAGGATTGTGTACATCAATGGCAGAATCCTCCAGCGATTCAGAACACTTTCGCTCTCGTGACCGATTGAGTCGATGGACTACCAGGTCAACATACAGGGAAAGTCTAAGTCGTCCTACAGTAGGCGTCACCGAGAAGGTCAACACTATAACGAGTACTTTACAGGTTAGTTTAACAGTGGTTGCATTTAATAGATTTTCAGTAGTTTAAACTGAGAAATAGTTTTGGTCAGTGTATTAGTTTTTTGCTGCCATAGCAAATTACCACAAACTAATTATATAATTAAATAATGATATATAATTTATAATTGTTTGTAATTAATAATTAAAATACCAAAGTTGTTTTCTTATAGTTCTGCACATCAAAATACAACACTGGTCTCATTGGACCCAAATCAGGGTTCGTTAGGGCTGCATTCCTTCCTGGAAGCCCATGGGACTCTGTTCCTTTGCCTCTTCCAGCTTTCAGGGGCTGCCTACATTTTTTTGGGATCCTCTTCCTTCATCTTCGAAGCGAGCAAGGGTGGGTTGAGTCCTCACTTCACATCACTCTGACTACTCTTCTGCTTCCCTCTTCTACTCCTAAGGATGCTTGTGATTACATTGGGTTCGCCCAATAATCCAGGATAATATTCCCATCTCTAGGTCCTTCACTTGAGCTGTATATCATATCTACAAAATCTCTGTTGCCATGGGAGGTTACAAATACACAAGTCACAAGGATTAGGACTTGAACGTCTTATTGTGCCTAGCACAGTCAGTAAAGATATTTGAAATATGTGATAGGTTGTGGAAGCATTTTGGGATGAGGCAGTATGCCCAAATAAAATGTGTGGGAGTGAAACGAGTAGGAAGTACCACAGTTTAGCTTCTTGTGGTCATGTGCCTTTGAGAGTAATTGCTCATATTTTGACTAGGCAGATCATTCATGGATGAACAATATTGAGATGCCATTTTTATTTAGGGGCTAACTTTTGGCAGTTTGAAAGGCAACCTTTTAGAAGTTTCAGTGGAGGCAGTATCTATCCTTTATGTAGAAAGGGCTTGGGAAAAGAGGTGGGTGAAGGGTAACAACACAGCCATACCGAGGGTGAGGGGGGGTGGGGGAAGAAAACTCAGAAATTGAGGTTTTTTTTTTTCCCCAGCCCCTTAATCTCTTATTTTTGCTTTGCCTGGATAAGCATGGATTTTGGTTTTTAATTGCTTTGGGTTAGTATTCTTTAAAAAAAAAATTTTTTTTTTAACGTTTGTTTTTGAGAGAAAGAGAGACAGAACATGAGCAGGGGAGGGGCAGAGAGAGAGAGAGGGAGACACAGAATCTAAAGCAGGCTCCAGGCTCTGAGCTGTCAGCCCAGAGCCCGACGCGGGGCTTAAACTTGTGAACCACAAGATCATGACCTGAGCTGAAGTTGGACACTTAATTGACTAAGCTACCCAGGCACCCCTGGGTTAGTATTCTTAATGAGAAGAGGCTAATTTCTGGTGGAGGGGCCATAATTTGATTTAAAACTCACAAGGCTCTTTTTAAACTTACATAAACTAGCATAACATTGGATTTTTGGAGTACAAATAAATCCTTGTACTTTCCAACCAATGAGGAGACACATTAGTAAGTGTATCTTTTTTTGAAAGAAATGCCTCCATTAATCTCTGAGGTAACACCTAGCACATTTGGGTGGAAACCATTTTTGTTGAGATTAGAACTAAATTTGTTGTTTATAGCTAAAGGTTAAAGGATACTTTTTCTTCTAATCAAGTTCCACAGTGAAGTAATAATTAAAATAACATCGTTCCTAATGATTTGCTTCTCTTATACACAATCTAAAAGGTTTGTTCTCTCAGGATTCCTTTTCTATGAAGGAGGTGTGAATTAGTTGAGGTGCACAAATTAATAATGAGGAGTCTTTTCAAATTAGGGTTTTGTTCCTGACTTATTGTGGAACATTGGATAAGGATTTAAATTATGTACTTCCGATTTCACACAAGTAAATTGTGGATGGATTTGAGTTTCTCTCTCAGTGGTTTTTATATGATTTATCTGATATTTAAGAAGTACTGTATATTAATATCTAAGTTAGGTATGATATAATTGTACCTTTCACAAATGGTTGACTTAGTTGTTTGACATACTACTAAGATTGAGAAAAGCGTTGTTTGCAACAATTATTAAAATCCATTTTCTTTTTTAAGGACACCAGTCGGAACCTGCGACAAGTAGACCAGATGCTTGGACAGTATCGAGAATATAGTAATGGACAGGCGGGTGCTATAGAACATGTGAGAATGTTTACATATGTTTGTATTTTTTCTTCCCCACCTTTTTGGAAATGCAGTTGTTGAGAAGTAGGGATCTGAGATAAAGGAGAGAACCACTGTGAACCTTTAGCTTTTAGACTGCTTTACTATTTTATAGTAGGTTAGCTTGTCAGATGGATTGCCAACCAGCTTATATAGATTAGTCTATTGAATTTGAAAGTTTTAAGTCAAAGGAGGAAGTATTCAGGATGTTAATTAAATTGAGACTCACTAAATTTTGGCTGGGGATACTCCTCATGGGAGTTAAGAATTTTATGGAGGGTTTCTTTTAAAGTAATACATGCTCATTGTTTAAATAAATTATAAAACTATCTCTTAGCTCCTCTCAGTTCTACTCCAAAGAGGTAACGATCTGACAGTTCCTTGTGTATCCTTCCAAGCATGTTCTATGCATGTATACACATAACTACCTTATTAATAATAGGAGTTAATTCTTTGCTTTTTAGTTTATTAGTGAAAACTTAAAAAATATTATGTAGTAGCAGGAACAAACCTACTTTGTCATGTTGAATGTTAGATGCATAATTATGGTAGCAAATTCCCTTTGAATTGAGGAATTGAGAAATGAAATTATTTGTTAGATAAACTTCTGTATAGATAAACATTTAAAACACAAAATGTACTCTATGGCATTAAGCCTCTGTAGGAGGCCTAGAGCTGAATGATGCTGAACTTTGGGGGTGTGGTTTTATACACAGGAGGTAAATAAACTCAACAAGTATTCCATTTCCATCTGAGTTATTAAGTACATAGAATGCAAAGCTACTCATAAAATTAAGACATAGGAGAGCAAGAGTCTTTGATTTTGCTTTAGGTCATTCCTTAGTCTGGTCTACATTCTCTTCCTTAGTTCCCCCAAATTATTGGTCTGTTAAAACAGTTGGCTCTCAGTGTTTTTTCCCTGCAGCATACAGAGGAGTCTGTCATTCATTGCCTTCTATTAATACTTACTCATGCCACCTGTAAGTTACCTGGGGCAATATATGCCATAATCTGTGGGAATATGTATAATTTGGAAAGAGTATTTCCCATGACAAGTGATTCTGATGGGCTCCTCAATGAAAATTGCTTTCTTAGCATGAAATCGTTTTATTTACTGGTATGGAATAGATCATACCTTAAAAGTGAGGTGGGTTTTTGTTTTGTTTTGTTTTGTTTTGTCTTTTTGTTTTTGATTAAGATCCCTTTAGTTCTAATTTATTTTTTAATTTACATCCGAGTTAGTTAACATACAGTGCAATGATGATTTCAGGAGTAACTCCAGTGATTTGTCACCTACGTATAATACCCAGTGCCTATCCCAACAAGTGTCCTCCTTAAAGCCCTTTGCCCAGTTAGCCCATTCCCCCACCCATAATCCCTCCAGCAACCCTGTTTGTTTTCTGTACTTAAGAGTATCTTATGGTTTGTCCCCATCCCTGTTTTTATTTTATTTTTGCTTCCCTTCCCTTATGTTCATCTGTTTTGTATCTTAAATTCCACATATGAGTGAAGTCATATGATATTTGTCTTTCTCTGACTAATTTCATTTAGCATAATACGCTCTAGTTCCATCCATGTTGTTACAAATGGCAAGATTTCATTCTTTTTGATCACCAAGTAATATTCCATCGTGTGTATACATATATACACACCATGTCTTCTTTATCCATTCATCTGTTGATGGACATTTGGGCTCTTTCCATACTTTGGCTATTGTTGATAGTGCTGCTATAAACATTGGGGTGTATGTGCCCCTTTGAAACAGCACTTTTGTATCCTTTGGATAAATACCTAGTAGTACAATTGTAAATCAATGTGTGTTTTGTTTAGGGAGGGACCCTGGAGAGTAATTTTGTTTTTCTTTTGGAGGCTATGCTGCAACTCCTATAAGTCTTCTTGCTATAAAACCTACTGTTTTCTTTCTTTCTTTCTTTCTTTCTTTCTTTCTTTCTTTCTTTCTTTCTTTCTTTCTTTCTTTCTTTCTCTCTCTCTCTCTCTTTCTTTCTTTCTTTCTTTCTTTCTTTCTTTCTTTCTTTCGAGAGCAAGAGGGAGAGAGAACACATGCGAGTGAGGGAGGGGCAGAGGGAAAGGGAAACAAAGAATCTCAAGGAGGCTCTGTGCTCAGCTTAGAGACCCCTGTAGGGCTTGATCTCAGATCATAACCTGAGCTGAAATCGAGAGTTGGAGCTTAACCAACTGAGCCACCCTGGCGCCACCGCCCTTTTTTTAAACATTTTTTTTTTTTTTTAGTTAATCCACTATTTAACTGTTAAAAATTTCTCTATGCTAAATATACATTGCCTTGTTGAAATTAGCATTTCTTTTTTGAAATACGAGAGACTTTCTGTAAAGTGAGACCAATTTGCTTGCTATAGGGAAGACAAGAATTTTCATTAACTTAGATTTTATAAATGATTCTGTTGCTCCACCTTATGAAATGGATAAGTGATGTGTTTGTGTATATCTATGCGTATTTAATATTTGTTTTATTGGGTTTTAACTTTGTGAACATAATTTACAGAAGTTGAGAGGAAATCTAAACATTTGATGTAGTGTTTCCCTCCTGAGATGATCTTCCCCAACAAGAGAACTGTGAGAATACTCCTGTTGGTTTGTAAAGCCTAAGGGTCAAGAGTCCGGTCACTTTTTTGATGACGTTTACTTGAAATATATACATCATTTCACTTTTTTCCCTTGAATCTTTATAACCTCCAATCCTATATTTTATTTTTTGCTCCTTAAATGTGAAGGTCTCTCTATGAGGAGTTGAGCAGTGTTAAAGCATCAGCAATGGGTCTGTAGGACCTTCTAGAGAAGCAGCGCACCTTCCTTTTCTTGGTCTCTTTGGGAATTTCTCCATATGCTTAGTATATCCCAGACACTTTTTGTATATTAACTCATTTAGTTCTCTCAATAATCCCATTAGGTAGGTACTTTGATTATCCTCATTTGCAAGATAAAAACACCGGGCACAGAATGCTGGCTAACTTGCCCATGGTCTCACAGCTAGTTAGCAACAGACGCATGGATAGGCTGTTATCCCAAAGCTCAGCATCAGGATTCATTTACCTCACTGAGTCATGGTTGCTCACATTTTTGTGATGCTGTGAGTTCATATTTCTGAAGATTGGGATTTTGGATTCAAAGTTTGAAGGGCTAAATACTTTATGTTGCTAAACTACATTTTAGAGATTATTCTAACTGACTGAACAGCAGAAACCCACTGTCACACAAGTCATTAATGTTACAGCTGATACAGTGTCCAGAATGAGAGTTAGGTGAGACAAATAGAGAAGTAGAATTGGGAAGAAATCTGGCACTGAGCTAGAATCGGCATTGACAGATTGTCAAAGTTGGCAGGTCTAGCTGCCACTTAGGCAATATGTGGGTTCTGCAACTTGCCTACATCAGCATCAATTTTTCCCTTCCTCCTAAATAACAACCACTGATTTTTTTTTTTTTTTTTTTTTAACTAGCCTTTTTTGCAGCCATTCCAAATGAGCCGTATTTAGTTGATAGTATGTCTCAGGGTCTTTGGGCCCAATGAACTTCTTGACTTTATGGAGTGTCAATTTGCATTATTTCTCATGCTGTAAATTTCTTGGGAGGTCTGGGACATTTGGGCAAAAGGGGACCTGTGGGGAAGGTTTTATTTGAAAGCTTACTGTGAAGATTTGGAATATATTATACTCCTGTACTAAATAGTGCAATTGATAAGCTTAGTATTTAAAATATTTCTAAAACTGTGCATTCCTATTCATGAGAGAATGGGGTCTGTTTTTGTGTTAATACTGTAAAAATGGAATGCCCTCAAGAAAGAATATTCAACATAAAAAGTTAATACCTTTTGCAGTGGAAATTTGGACTGTAGCTGAGACTCCAGTAGTTAATATTGGTTATAAAAGAAAAATACAATTGTCTTGATTCAAATCAGCAGACTTTTTAAATTCATATTTTAAAGTAAAGATTGTTGAAAATATCGTAATATCAGATTGGTGAAGATATAGTAATATGAAATTAGAATTTAGGAGACTTGCATTCATATGTAATTTCTCTTCTAATTAAGTACTCTGATTAAAATTTCCTTTTGAGAGTAATAGGATGCTACCATCTGGCATATGGACTTTGGAAATTTGAATGTTAAATAAAAAGTGGAGGTTTTTTTGTTCTATTCAGTGGGTTTCACTTCTCAATATACTTAGTGACATCCCAGAATGATAATGGTAATGGTTGAGGGCCAGGCACAAACCACTTGTAATATCCCAAAGCTAATGGTATCTGCCCTTTTTTTCTGGCTGAGTTTTCCTAATTGTCCTGAAGGTGAGACTTGTTCAGTCTTTTAATAACGTTAAAGTTAAGTAGTAAGAGTCTATGGGTAAGAAATTATAATCAAACAAATTCTGTTATGACTTTTTTATAAATGTATTTTGGATCTTAAGAATTAGGTTCTTGGAGTATATTTAAAATTATATTACTAAGTCCTTCATGAAACTGCTGGACAGGAGAATAATTTTTACAGAATTTTGCTTTGAGGGTAATGGAGAAATGTAGACTGTGGAGTCAGACTTGAAATTTAATCCTGATTTTTCCACTAGAAACCATTTCATTGACTTTGGACAAGTTATTAAACTTTTCTAAACTTGAGTTTCATCATCTGAAAAATGAACATAGTTATATATCCCTCATTATAACTAACATTAATTGAAGTGGTCACACAGTCACACTGTTTAGAAACTTGCTAAACATTCATGTTTCTGTTGTTTCTTTAATTCATCTGATAATCCCTACCTTGAAGCATTTGCTGTGTTCTTTTAAAAAAATTTTTTTTTAATGTTTATTTTTGAGAGAGAGAGCGAGTCTGTGCGTGCGCAAGTCAGGGAGGGGCAGAGAGCAAGGAAGACACAGACTCTGAAGCAGGTTCCAGGCTCTGAGCTGTCAGCCTAGAGCCCAATGTGAGGCTGTAACTCACGAGCTGTGAG